TGAAAAAAGAACAATATCATTCGATTTTGCTAAGACATCCTATACAATCTGATTTATGCATAAATGGAAAAAAATAACCTTTCAACAGGACTAAAACTATTGTAAATTATATCAAAATATATTACCTTGTCAAAAAATTGAACAAGACTTTGGAAATTATGACTTGACCACCTTAATCTTCTTACTTCTTGAATGAATACAGGATGAATGGGTTAGGATAGTTCAAAGAGAATACCCAAAGAGTGAGCTTTTTTAGTGCTTGAAGAATTCTTGGAGAAAGTCTACTTTTTTTTTTTTTTTTTTTTTTGAAAAACTGTTGGAAAGAATACCAAGAATTTGAAAAGTAGTAATTAAGGCAGATGGTGTTTTTATTGACGGAAGCAAAATATGATGTTGTTGGATGGTAAACTTTTATAGTTAAGTGCTTATTTTTGGTCAAAATAAAAGCAAATACACTGTAGTTACTGAAATTTTATCTTTTACTTTAAAAATATACAAAAATATTCATTTTAAACTTCTTTTTAAAGAAATGCAGGGTGGCACACACACACACACACACATCTTTATATTTAGGCAAAATATCTTCATTCAAGCATGTTTCTTTGAATAATATAGACATATGTGTATTTATTTTTGTAATAATCTGTTCTAGTTCTCTAATTAACTTCTTGATGTTAAATTGAAATTCATCAAAGAAAGCAGCATAGTTTTTGTCCAATCTACTCTATTGTTTGTAAGGATGACAAGGTTGAGCAATTGCTTTTGGTGTTCTCTTAATTCGTAGTTAGAGATGTTAAGGAATTTATCTTTATTATTTGGGAGATGGATTGGACTTTTATATAAAGTTTATTAAGTTTTTTTTTTAATGTTCAGATGTTGTTGAATTTCAGATTTATTGCTGATTTCTGCAAGTCTATGTAGAATTTCATTAACTGTTCAGGAGTTGTTAAGAGTTTAAGTTTGTTGTCTTTATTTCTTACTTAAACCTTTGTTTATAAAATAAATGTACATTAAATTTCTGAAAAAACAAAAAAAAAACTAAGTCTCAAGCATATCTGGAACTGATTTTATATTATTTTAAAGTTACAGAAATCTGAATAAAATCTTAGATATTTCTTGGCCATATTCTGACCGCGTATTTTTAAATGCTACGTCACCCTGATAAGTGAATTGTTAAAATCTGTTATGCTTAGCTGAGGAAATACAGCTAGTATCATTTTTCTAACTTTGAATACCATATAATTGAATTCTGATTGGAAAAATCAGTATTGCTACAAAATTTATTGAGAATGTGTCTGATTTTCCATGAATTTGCACTATTTTTTTTTTTTTTTATCAAAAACATCAAATACAGTGTAACCCGGATATAAGAGAGTTGTTGGGACCGGAAAAGAAGTCTCTTATATCCGGGTTTGGTCTATTTTGTTTAGGTAACACAGGCTCTAATTTGGGACCAGAGAAAATCTCTCTTATATCCGGGTTTCTCTTATATCCGGGTTTGGTCTATTTATATACATTAACACAGGCTCTAATTTGGGACCAGAGAAAATCTCTCTTATATCCGGGTTTGGTCTATTTTATATACATTAACACAGGCTCTAATTTGGGACCAGAGAAAATCTCTCTTATATCCGGGTTACACTGTATATCAAAAATGTCTAAGATTCACCTACCAAAGCATATAGTTTTTGAAAAATTCAGGTTAAGCCCATTTAGAATCTTTAAAGTTTGCCATGTTACTCTCAGCACTTCCTTCTTTAATGCAGGACCAAAGTTTATTTCAGAGACTGTAAATTTATCTAATTGGAAAAATTTTGTGTATGCTAGAATTAAAATTTAGGCTCCAAATGGATGAAAATGGATGTAATATTACCATTTTGGGGTTACAGACAAGATACTAGCTATGAATTGCCTCAGAATACTATCAAAATAGTTGAAAACAAAAATTTACATTATCTTTGCTGATTTTCACCTAAAATTGGTCGAAGATTAGTCTGATTTTACTCAAGAAAATTGCTGCAATTCATCATATACACTAAAAATGGCTAAGATCCATACACCATAATTTACCAATATCAAAGGTGTATTGGTTAAACCCTTTCAGAATTTTCAAAACGTTCCTCTTTCAAGTCAGTCATTCATGTTAATTTCCTTTGGGAATTTCCCTGCAAAGTCATTGTAATGTTAATGTTAGAAAAAACATTCTAGTGGATAAAAAAAAACTGGACCACTTGGGGACTCCATTCGTTAATCCAAAGATCGAGTTCTTGAGACTATTCACCAGGAAACAGGACTTTATTTTGACAGAGTCAATACAGCTGATGGGAAAGGCAGGACTTGAAGCCATAGAAAAGTTAGCTGATCAGAAACACAAGGATCACCTTCTCCTCCATCGTCAGTTATCTACAATCCTCTCAGTTGTATCTTTGTTGTGTAAAATCAAGTTGAAAAAAAATTCAAAGATCTCTGTGACTCAACTGCTTTCAATTTATGTGACAATTTTCCATGGGTAAGAATTAATCATGGAACTTTACACCACTCTGTAGAAGTGATTGGTTTGAATGATGGTTACAGTCTTGGGAACCTGTTTGAAGAATGTTTGGAGGCAAACAACAAGGACATTAGAAATTACTTGCAATTTTTATCCAGGAAAATTTCTTCTGTTGATCACCTCACTGATGTCATAGCAAGACTCCTTGACTGTTCTGACACTGTCTTAATCAATCTTATAACTCAGCATCAGCCAAAAAAGTGCCACAGATCAAACCATATGCTCACATTCTCAGATGTTCAATTTGTTAAAGAAGTGATATGCCAGCCTTGTTGAAGATATATTTCTTGATTAATAACAGTATGTACACCAAATTGTTATTTTGAAACTCCTGAAATTTTAGCATGATTTCATACTATAAAGATTTTTTAGAGGTGTTTTGCTTGAACAGCAGTTTCTCAGATCTTTGTTTTGAAGAAAATTTGGATTTTATTTAACATGACCATATCCTGCTTTGTCTGTCTGAACCCATGTCTGTCTTTTTTGATGTTATACAGCCCTAATCTTCAACTTTTTATATAATTGAAACTTTTATCATAGCATTAAATTAAGCATACACTTCCAACGAGCCCTCAACCAACCTCTAATCTTTATCCAAACTGAAATTAGAGCAATTTTTGTACCTTGGGATGGCAATGCCCAAATAAGGAAATCCCACCTCAAACCCCCAATTTGTGAGAAATTTCACCTTTTATGAACTCAGCTTGGCCATACACTTCCAAAAAGACCATAATCACTTATCAGAAACAGATTGGGCCAAGTTACACATCATCATACCTCTATTTCCAAAGTTAGCCCATCTGGGCCCACTGTGCCCAAGGTAGTTGTTATGTTGTAGGTTACTGCTTATACTGACCATTTCTTGTTCATAAGTCTCTTGGTCACCACTTATGACTTTTGCTTGATGTTGTAAGCCACAGATGATCCCTTTCTTTACACTGTATGGGTGGTGGGAGTTGAAGTTGAGGTATTGCCTGCTGAATGTAGCCTTGCAATATATGGATGTCTTGAACCCACGCTCTGTTCGAGATATTAGTAAATCCAGAAATGCTGGTTGTTTGTTGTTGTTTTCTCTCTCCATTGTGAACTGTATTGATGATCTTATTGAGTTCACATGCTCCAGTAGTAGCTGGACTTCTTGGTGTGGCCAGAGTATGAAAGTGTCATCTATGTATCTCAGCCATAGGGCTGGCTTTAGTGATGTAGTTTCTATTGCCATTTCCTCAAAGTATTCGATGTATAGCTTTGCCATTGCTGGTGATAATGGTGAGCCCATTGCTAAGCCCACATCCTGTCAATATATGTCTGATCCCATTCCAAAGTGTGTTGTTTGTGTACAGAAAGTCAGCATCTCCATCAGGTTATCTATTGGTATACTGGTCCCTTCTCCTAGGGATGAGTCCGAGGCCAGTTGTCCGTAGGTACCTTGGTGAACAAACTCACCATGACCAGGTTCACTATCTAGTTGGATTGAATGAGAGAATTTTTAATTATTTCCACAAAGTGGGCAGAGTTCCGTACATATGATATAGGGACTTTCTTATTAATGGGTCGATTATATCTACTAGGAAATGACTCAGAGGGTGGCACACAGAGCCTTGGCAGCTAACAATCGGCTTGAGCAGAATACCATCTTTGTGAATTTTGGGGGGAATGTATATGTGAGGTTGCTTGGTGTAATGCTGTGACAACTGCCTGTATATCTTAGGTGCGAAGTGGTCCTTGTTCTTGATTAAGATCTGTGACAGTTTGTGTTCCATTTTCATTGTAGGATCTTTCTATACTTTACTGTAGTTACCATTCACAATGAGGTCATCCAGTTTTTTTTGCATATGCTATTTTTTAGAAAGTTGAGTTAAAGAGAAATAACTGAGACATCTAGAAGAGGCATGGCATGTGGAACTAAAACAATCTACCTCAGTGAATGAAATAAGGGAGTCAGTTCGAAATTCCAATCACCTGAAGAAGGCTGGAGTGTACAACGGCCGAAACATTGTGAATATGGCAATGAAGATGAGGATAACAGTCTAAATAATGTAAATAATCATAATACCTCATCACAGAGATATAGACAGATAACTAAAAATATATCTGTAAAAAGACAATATGAAAACTTAGCTGATGCGTTTTGTCCTCTGACGGACTTATCAAGGCATATATGAGGATTTTATTTTGCAACTAGTATTTATAACCAGAAGTAAAAATGTTAGTTTTTCAGAATTTATAAGATTAAGAATGCTTGTAAATATATGTCAGGCTATTCTGGTAAGAAAAATTGTGTAAACTAACATTTCTAGTAGCAGACCAAACAAATGATAAATTTACTGATATAAAGATGATATTTATAATCAATATCACCTTGATAGATATGTATTTTGTTTGTTGACTTTTGCTTCTAAATATTTCCTGTTTATTTATGTCTAATTTGAAAATATTTTTGTTCTTTTAGCAACTGAATATCATCTTGGTTTGTTAAAAGCTAAGCTTGCCAAGTACAGACAACAGTTGCTAGAGCCATCATCAAAATCATCTGTGAAGGTAAGTTTTAATTATATATATTATATGGATACTAGCTATGAGTAAAATAGCAGGGCGCACTAGGTTTTCTTGCCTTGGTGGAAGAAGGATAGCTCTACATTCAAAATTGTCGAGGAAACAATAGGAAACCACTCCACTAACTTTCCTCAGAAAAATCTTTGCATTGCACAACAGTTTAGAGATGTAAAAGGAAGCTGTAAAGAATCAGATTTGATGACTTATAAGACACCTCTTCCCCATCTCAGAAAAAAAATATATATCACTTTTGGTCATCCATACTTAAACTGTTCTATGAAATGATCAAAGCAGGCTTTCATCATATACGGAAAAGAAAAGCTGACACTGTCTTTTATATAGATTAAACATTTTGGGGGAATTTTATATTCATATATTATAAATTAGCTGTTAATTATAATTATTTATAAATATTAAGAAAAATGAATGCGATTACTGCAAAACTATAAATTAGCTATTTATGTAATCTTTTTTTTATCATAGGATTTATTAAACAAGTATGTTAAAATTTTCTGTCACTAATAATTACAGATAGAGTGGCACACAGCAAATAATAAAAGCATTTATGAAAAAATTATTGGAGATGATTTTAATGTATAAAATTTATAGATAAATAGATAAATTCACTACTTATTGACTACACTGAAATTGATTTTACAGTTAAAATATATGGCAAATTTATATGTAAATTCACTACTGATGTTTTTACTATAGAAATGCATTGCATTCTGTTGTCAAATGAGTCATTTCTGGAACCAATCAAAATCAAGAACAATTCGGGAATGAATTCTCTTGTTTTTAAAAAAAGTGTTAAGACAGATAATGACAAGCGGGTTAACAGACTGGACCAGCCACTGAAAAAAAATTTCATCTGCTGTCCTTTACATTTACTTTGGACACCTAAAAATTCCACAGAAAGCAGAACTTTTTCAGATTTTGATTATCTTTACTGAGCACAAAACACCTGGTAAGTAATCCATGAATGAAGGTGTTGCTGTCACTTTCACTAACAAAAAGCTGGCACCAACATAGGCTACGTGGTTGGGCTTTCTGAAATTTTTCATTTGTGGCATGTCATATCTGCACCTGAAAAACTTTTTGTGTTTGTATTTTAGAATTTCAGATAAAGGATACACAACCTATATACAAGGCCTTTGGGCAAAATTTTACAGGTTTTTTTTTTTTTTTTTTTAAGGAAAACAAAGTGAATATCCAAAAATCAATTCATTAGAAAAATAGAAAAGTGGCATACATGTTATAATAATCAAAAGACAATCCATTCAAAGAAGCCACTTTTAACATCTAACACAGCCTCAATCCGACTCTGGCACATGCAGCCTTCACAGTGTCTGTACGGAGAGCCTCAGATGCTGATCAGCTGGGCCTTGATGTATAAGGCAGTGCAGTTGGTGTCTTTCTCAACAGCACCCCACACATAAAATAATGTATTGAGTTACAGTCAGCAGAGTTGGTGGGGACAACCACTTCTGATTCTTCTTGGAGTTGTGGCTGCCACACATGGTATTCCAGCAGCCACCCTATCTAACCAATCAGCAACTCCACATAGCCACCCAAATTGAGCCTGAGACCCTGTTCAAAGATGTGATGTGGCATGACATCACCCTCATTGGCAACACACCCAAGAACCATCACAGTTTGGGAAAACTGGACTTCATGACATGAGAAACGTAAAGATTGTAGGCAAGCTATCTGTTGTTCTGAGTGTTGTGTGACTGGTCTTGACAAAAATTATTTTCATAAAAGAAGAATCAGAGTGTCCCTGGTTCAACAAGATGTTTCACCTTGTTTAGGAGTTTCTTTGCCTTTGTCAGACGGTTTTCATGAGCCTTTTCTATAAGAAGTTTGACCATTTCACCTCTTATATGACTGGTAGTGGAGATCTTCCTTCAAGGCCAGCTTCATGGTGGAAAGTGCAACACCCATTCCCTGTACCAAAGCCTGCATTTTCTTGCCTGGATCTTCCATCATTTTCTCCTGCAGTTGTTGGGTGAATTCTGGTGTACGGAGACAAGCAGAATGTCAACTGCGTTCTTTCTTTGCAACTATCCATTTCACAATTTATTATTGTCAGTGTTCAAAAGAGCATTGAGCAACCATTATGTTTGTGGCATTTTGATACCTGGCATGAATTCTCAATATTTTCCAATTTTCAGTTAGCTTCTACTCATCCATATCAGTTAAATTTCACACCTCTAAAACTGTACTGATTAAGTTTCACAATGCTGTTCACTATTTACAGATATTCTAAACCAATTTGAAAAATGAAAGCATTAAACTCTGTCAAATTTAGTACAAATATCTCTGTATGTATAACTATGGCTTGTATAGTTGTTTTGTAATTTTTATCTTTCAATTATAAAGTGTTTTTGGGTTTTTTTTTTCCAGGGTGAAGGGTTTGATGTTATGAAATCTGGAGATGCACGCATTGCCCTGATTGGTTTCCCCTCAGTTGGAAAGGTAAACTTGAAAAACTGTCTTTTATATATATATATATATATATATATATATATATATATATATAAAACCATATAATTTTATATATCATTGATATATAAAATTATACAAATATGACAAACTGGAAAGGTTTTCTTTCTGTGACGCATTTCATATGTTAGTTAGTTTCATTGAACTGGGCTTTTTTGATGTTGCCATGTCTACACATGCATACGAAATGACAAAGGTGATGGAGAGAAAAAGAATACAAATGATTTTGGCTAGATAGAGAGAAAAAAAATATTCTCTCAAAAACTTTCTTTAAAAAATTTTGAAACTATCTGCGTCACTTGTTTTGTGCACATGTGTAGACATGGCAATGTCAATAAAACCCAGTCTGATGAAATCCTAACAGATGAAACGTATTACAGAAAAAAATTTTCCATTTTGTCATATTTTTCTAAATATGTATGAGAGAGGGAGAGAGAGAGAGACAAATATTTCCTTTGCCATTAATTAAAAAAAAATTATTATTTAAACAAGAAATAAATTTAAAAAAAAACAGAATACACTGATATTCTGTTAAAAATAAAAATCATCCTTGATAATGGCTAAAAGAATAGCAGAAAGACTCAAATATGCAGAACTTTTCAACAGTTTTTATACATTTTGTGTTTGGAAAAGAAAACATTTGTACAAACACAAAAAAATTAAATAAAAAGCTTAATCACAGTGCCTTGTTAGTCATCTTTAATGAAACTTATATATATTGTTATGACCCACAAGAGCTGCAACATAAATAAGAAAAAAACAAAACAAAAAATTAAAGTGGATCAGTTACCAAGGATATGACCTGGGTTCCACTACGATAATGTATTTTTCTTTCACAGAATCAAAAACATATGAATAAGAAAACCAACAGAGACAAACCTCCAAAGACAAACGTGTAATGAAATTTTAATCATACATAAAACAATTTGAAACAAAGAACATCTGAATGTAAAACAATGTTTACAGAGAGTGCAATATGAGTAAAAAAAAATACACTTGGCTTTTTCAGTGGATTGAAATCAAATACGTTTTTTTCTCTCTCTTTCTTTTCTCTTCTCTTTCTCTTGTTATATCTTTCTCATTTCTCTTTTTTCTTTTCCATTCTTTTTTTATATAATATTTAACATCTTATTTTGGGGGGAGTAACTTTTATATTTTCAGGGTTTTGTATTATCTTTTCTCTTAACATGTGTAAAAATGTTCTATTGTTAGGTTGTTCTTTATGTCCATTTTAAATGACAGTATTCAACCACGAGCAGTGGTAATTTCTCCTTATATGCTTTTTTTTGCATAAGGTTGATTCCTTTCCATTTAGAAATGATCTTGTTGATCATTGCTGAATTTTGTGTAGGCCCATTTGGTCACATAAGTGTTCTCTTAACTGGGAGTTTATGTGAGTTGGGGACAGAATTTGTTCTTTTCATTTCAGTGAATTTATTCACGTAATAATTTCATGGATGGTTCGATCTCATTGAGTTTCATTGCCTCAAGTAACTTGTCATGTTTTTTTTTTGTGTGCAATTTTGAATATTGAGTCAGGTGACTCCATGTGCATAGTTAATTTTAGCACCTGCGCAACTTGGCTGCTAGGGTTCAATCCTTTTAAACTCCACAGGTCTTTGCCTGACTGCTCTTAGGTTGTCAGAGACATAGAGGGAGTAATTGCCATGGAGAGAGAGAGAAAGAGAGAGAGAGGGTAATAGTCACAGACGGAGAGAGAAAGTTAACTATAACAACTTAACCTCCCTGGATTTAGTGAGTTTTAATTCAGAAGTGTCAGATTGTCACAATATATACAGGGTGCATCAAAAATACTTATACAAATATTTCCTCACATCAAAACAAAGACAACAGTCCACATATACATATGTCCACAAATCCTTTGTTTTTGAGTTATTAAGTTTAAAGTTTATGGTAGACGCTGTTAAATATACAATCCAAGAGACAATCCAATCTGCTCACAGATATTGGTTATATAAATTTGTTATTCCATCTCTTCCAAATGTTGCCTTATCTGCAAAAAAAACTGAAGAGACAAACAATGCATAGGCAGTTTGTGAAATAAACCATTAGCAAAAGTTCTGTGGTGAGTGATCATTGGGTGAAAGACCCTATACATGTTGCAAATGATACATATACAGGAACTGTTCTTGAAATATACTACATGTGGTACTATGAGATGGACAACATGCTAGGGCCACTTGACATTTGCTGATACCTGGATCATCTCCATCAGCCAGTGGAATGTGTTCTTCATGGTCTTCTATGATCTATATTTTGTGGTGCCACAGATCCCATCTCAGCAACACAACCATAAACAGCAGCAAAGGTTGGATGATTTGGCTGCCTTCAGTCTGGAAACGCAATCTGATACAGCCGTGCAGCCTCACATCCATTACCATTTGCACAGTTGTATGTAAAAATCATATCTGCCTGCTCATGATATGAATATCCTGCCATTGTTAAATGGAATACTTCTCAGTGAACTCATGACTGCACACATTAAACGTTGAAGACACACTAGCCACAAATATACTTGATTGACAAATGTAACTGTAAAATCAATGTGATACTTACCTTTGCAGGAAGGTTTCAAACTTGTGTCCAGTTGTCAGACCAGGGTGAACTGTAATTGAACACAGCTCTTTACTGAAGCAAACATAATGGTGAATGATGGATGGTTAACAATCAGAATATCCACACAAGAACCAGCAGTCAACCAGGACTTAGAGAATAGGATTGCCTAAGTGGAAGAATAGAACAGTTCAGCTTGCTACATGTGCCAGCTGTTCTAACCTCTGTGACTGGAGAGCTTACACTATAGCAAAGAACTAATCTGGTTATTCAATATGGTGCTGCGAACAGGATATGATCCAGCTGAATGGGAAAGCATTTTTATTGAGGCAGGCATATCTGCTGTCTCTGCTAATACAATTGTGCAGACAAAACCATCCAGAACTCTAGTATCAACACCTACCCAGACTTTTTCAACACCAACCCTAGCAAACTACTTAACATGCTTGAAATGTTGGTTACACAAAAATCAAATCCTATGGTACACAGAATATTGTTTTTGTCTATTTTGCAGAGTGACAATGAGTTCATTCAAAGCTACTTGATTTATCTATGGTCAAAAGCACAGGGTTGTAATTTCATATGCCCCAACTGCAATCATGTTTTATCCAGCATATACATTAAGGATCGATTTATTTGGAGTATGGCTATTGATGTACTACAAGCAGATTTATTGGCTATGGTGGGGTCAATGAAGAACTTAAAACAAAATATAAACTATGCAGAAGCATTTGAAATGGCCATGTGAGACCAAAATAAGATATCAGACACTTCAGATGTCAATGCATCTCCAACAGAACTGGACCCAAAATGTAGTCTGTTCTAATGCTACCTGCAAATGCAGAGGTTGTGGTAGTTACCAATATGGTAGACCTGGAATGAATAGCTGGCAACAAATGCACTGTGAGGGGTCAAACATGCAACGTGTGGCAAGCAGAATCACTTTGCAAAGGGTTGCCAGTCGAAGGGTGAAAATAAATGAGGTACCATACAGTGTCTTGAGGACGAAGGAGGCGCTATGGATGCTCTCATTGTGCATATGATATTCAACCCAGCAGTTGATGTCTATAAGTCAAGCAATAACAGTGGCCATGAAGAGTTTGAGGCAACATTGATCCCATTTTCCCCCTGCCCAGACGTAAGACAAGCCAGGGATATCCCCACTGCCTGTTCTACAAGGCTCAGAAACTACCATGATAGTGGTGCAACCATATGTCTTGGTGGGCTGAAATACATGGGACTTTCAATAAGAAATTTAGTCCCCTAAAAAAAAAAAAAGGTACATGCAGTGGGGGTGGGGTTTCCTTGGTGTATCAAGGTTGGCTGCCCATCAAATTCATGATTGGAGGAAAGACCACAAAACAGGCACTGTATATATGTAAGAAAATACAAACAAAATACTTTAGAAAAACAGCTTGCATTGATGTAGGCATATTACCTCCATACTTTCCCAAACCTATGACAGTGGCACCCACCCTGGCAATTAATTTAGTGACATGCAACACTTTACTCCCAGATCCTCAGCATCATACACTAAACCCTTTAGCCCATGAATTCAAATCTGAGTCGATTAAAAGCACAAAATCTGAATATCTTAAAACCCTTCCATTTCCAGCAACCAGTGAAAATGTAGATAAACTTAAAGGACAGCTGTTAGACCAATTTGCCACAACAGTTATCAACAATATCTGGAAATTCCCTGTTATGTCTGGTCCTCCAGCTCACATCCCCCGAAAGGAAGGTTCACCCCCCCCCTCCAGGCTAGACATAATGCCCTTCCAGTACCATACAATATTTCAAGGAGCAAGTGCAACAAGCCCTTTTGGAAGATGTCAAAAGAGGCATCTCCAGTACTATTAAATAAAATTTTTGAAAAAATGTCTAATTCGTAAAATTTGGCTTCCTAAAATAACAAACTACCCCCCCTTCCATCACCATGTATGACAGGAGAAAGAAAGGATAAAAAAATGACAAAATTTTTACCCCCTCTCACCACTACCTTTTTCTTTTTATTAAATCAAGCTAAATTTGTAAAACTTGGTTCCTAAACTGTAGGGAGATAGTAGGTAAGGGGCATGGATATTAAAACATTACCAACTTTATCCTTTGATGTCTGTCAGATGAGTGAGTTAGGAAAGGCAGACATAGTAACAAATTAAAATGACTTTTGACAAATCTGTTGGAAGAAATAATTTCCATTTCAAAATCTCGATTTCCATTTCTAGTAGGCCATTCCATTTTTTCACCTTCATGGAAAATAAACCATATATTATTTTGAAAATAAACCATATATAATTTTTCCAGCTTCATGGAAAATAAACCACATATTATTTTGATATGATCATTTAAACTTTCTCTGTTTATCAATATGTTTTTTTTGTTCTTTCTAGTCCACCATTTTGAACATCTTGACAAAAACTCATAGTGAATCTGCTTCCTATGAATTCACAACACTGACATGTATTCCTGGTGTAATTCAGGTAAGATTATAATTCATTCATTTATTATCCATCCTATAGGAGGGTGATGATTCCTTTCTGGCATGTGTATTAGTGGAATTTAAGTGGTTCTACAGAAGGATGATGAGAATATCATCAAATGAACATGTGAGCAACGACAAAGTTTTAGAGAAAATGGGAATAAAATGGACACTTAGAATCAGAAAGAGACAATTTAAATTTTTAGGGAACATAATGCTGAAAGAGGGATTAGAAAATTTAACACTCACAGGATATGTTGAAGGCTAAAGAGACAGAGGAAAGCAGCAAATAACCTACCTTATATGTTTGTGTAAATGGCTGGTAGAACAGGGATTAGGAGAGATAGCAAAAAGACAAGCATCATTAAGAGCTTCAAAGGATGGGAAGTTGTGGAGAGCCATGATCGTCCACATCCTGAAGAGACATGGCAAATAGAAGTTATTACCTGGGAATAAATTCATGGAGATATTTGAATATTCATGAGATGAGATTTTTTCCAAAAAGTAACCAAATTTTATATAAAGTGGACATTGAGGACAACACCCAGCATCAATGAAGTACGGGACTTTGTCTTCTTCAGAGTTTTAATTGCCGTAAAGTGTTTATCTGGCTGTCTTTGAGATTACACATATGCATGACACGGTGTTATAGTGGAACACACCTATTCAATAGTTAATAGACTCTCCCACCTATAATAAGTAGGAGTAGTAAGAGTCACTCAGTGAGACGGTCAGTCAGTCGATGCCGGATGACCGTGAGTTGAATACTAAAGTATCAGTGACCACAACTAGATTACTCTGCGTTATACCTATTATATCAAGTTCCTAACGTTTTGTACGTCGAACCTATTTTAGGACCGACTTAGTACAAATACAATCCTCCACTGTGAAATCACTCCACAACACATGGACACGTACTTTTGGGGCAGAACATAAGTAAAAATGCAAAATGATAATTCAGTGTCTCAAAAATTGCAACAAATATTGTTCATACAACGTTTTAATATTAAAATGACAATTTTTTATTTTTTTTTTTAGTATAATGGAGCCAACATTCAACTTCTTGATTTACCTGGAATCATTGAAGGAGCCGCTCAAGGTAATTTAGATTTTCATTTTTGTTTACTTACCTTAAAAATTCATATTTGTAGTTAATTGTTTTTCTATGAGCATCAATCATTATTACACTCTTTTCATTAGGGCTTACAGCCACATCATCCTGGATATTGTGATAAACAACATCCAGCAGAAAAACCTGAATAAGAGGTTTTGAAGAGTGTGGCACCCTCTCTTAATTGCTGTTGTTTCCAGGTCATGGTGGTAGCACCTGTTAGGGTTCCAGCAGCAAGGTCTCTGATCGGGAGATTGGAGGTTTTGAGGAGCATGGAACCATCTCTTAATTGCTGTTATTCCCAGGTCAGGTGTGACCTGGGGTGGTAGCACCTGTTAGGGGTTCCAGCTATGGGTAAATAGTGAACCTTCCCAAACAAAACACTATGATAGTATAAAGATACTAGCAATACATATTTCTTAAGCTAATCTAGTCTTGGATATGATGATAAACTACACTCAGCAGCAAAACCTCTGATCGAGAGATTGGTGGATTTGAGGAGCATGGAACCACCTCTTATTTGCTGTTATTACCAGGTCCACCTGACCTTGGGTGGTGGCACCTGTTAGTGTCCCAGCTATAGGTAAATAGTGTACCCCCAAACAAAACATTATCAAAGTGTAAAAAATATCAGCAACACATTTTTATATAAAAAATTACCAATATTACTTATTTATAGTAAAATTGCCAACAAATACATTTTATTTGTACTTGAAGCCATAAGATTATTTGTAATTAATTGTTTTTCTGTGAGCATCAATCATTGCACTCTTTACATTAGGGCTTATGGCCACATCATATTGAAATAAGAATCCTGGGTATAGTGATAAACTACATCCAGCAGCAAGACCTGAACAGGAGATTTTGAAGAGTGTGGAACCATCTCTTAATTGCTGTTGTTCTCAGGTCCACCTTGACCCAGGTTGGTAGCACCTATTAGGGTTCCAGCTATGCCCAAATAGTGAACTACCACACTGGAGTCAAAACACAATGAAAGTATAAAATTCATTTTCATAGTAAAAGAAATGCTAGCAATAGATTTAAAAAGACAAAAATATTTTGTTAAAGGAAAATTACTCAAGCTCCCAAGAAAATTAAATTTCGGCATTCAATGACCCATAAGGAGTTGATATGCCATTAAACAATCAAATCAAATCAAAGCTCCCAAGAAAATTAAATTTCGGCATTCAATGACCCATAAGGAGTTGATATGCCATTAAACAATCAAATCAAATCAAAGCTCCCAAGAAAATTAAATTTCGGCATTAAATGACCCATAAGGAGTTGATATGCCATTAAACAATCAAATCAAATCAAAGCTCCCAAGAAAATTAAATTTCGGCATTAAATGACCCATAAGGAGTTGATATGCCGTTAAATAATCAATTGAAATCAAAACAAACAAGAAAATTAAATTTCGGCATTAAATGACTGTAAAATGAATGAAATGTTGCTGCCACTCTAGTACTTAAATTCATAAGTCTAATTACCATAGAGGAAATTTCATCAGAGCAATTACCATAAAAGTATTTATAGAAAAGGGACAGGGAAGCTATCTTACAGTGATGCGAGAGAGACTGAAGCTGAGATACCAGGTCAGGACCAATAACATTGCAGATTCTTCTTTGGATTTTATAAAGAATTTCTAAATACATAGTAGGAACACCAGACCATATGTGGCAGCAATATCCAAAGTAAGAGCAAATAGTAGACTTATAAGTATCTAAGATAGATTCTAGTGAGAAAAATTGTTTAGCATGACACAGTGAACAACCTGTCTTAGCAGTTGATTCAATATAATCATTCCACTACATGTCAGTGGAAAATGTTAGTCTGATAAGGCGCAATAAGTCATTCACCTGAAGGTTAGCATCAGCCATGCTGATGAAAGGCAAAAATGCTTCTCTCAGACAAGACGAGTGATCAAGAATTGTAAAAGCTTTCTGAAATATATCTGTTTTAACAATAAATTATCCATTGGAATTACAAGTTTTTATTCTTTTTAATTCAACTTCACCAATAGAATCAAGTGTTTTTACAAGCTACTATTATCTTTAAATAATTTACATTTTAAATAAACATTACTATTACATAGTATTTTTGCTATTTAAAATATAAAGTACTTACTGCTTGATAGGTGCTTTTCATATTAAAGTAAAGTAACATCTACTATGCCAAAGTATGCATTATATAAATATCACAATTTTAGTCAATAAATATTTCAATAAATAAACATTGTTAATAAACAATATTTTAGTCACTAAACTTAGCAGAAAACCAACTTCATAAAAATGTCTGCTAAACCAAGAAACATCTTTATTCATATACTTAATTTTCATAGGAATTAATTCCCTCTGACAACATGATATCTTCCATAAATGTTTGTAAATGTTATCAGCAGGTGTTGTGAAAATCTCAATGTTTGCTTACTTTTGGAAAGTTTTCTTAAAAGACCTCAAAATGTAAAAACATTACTATGTCAGGTTTAAATGTAACAACTGGAGAATGCTGCAAAGATATATAAATATAACCTTTAATAATTGTTGCCAGTAATCAAAAGAAAAATATGAAAAGCAATTAACTAAATGATTTTCCCTGCACTTTCTTCTAGGCAAAGGTCGAGGTCGCCAGGTTATTGCTGTTGCTCGGACTGCAGATCTTGTTGTGATAATGTTGGATGCAACAAAAGGTGATATTCAAAGGTGAGAATTTAAACCCTTTTTATCTTTCTAAATTTTGGCAAATCTGTTGGGATCCATCTACCCAGGTTTTGTTGCTATTCAGGTGTTGAGATGCCAAACATTTAAACAACAACAAATCTTTTAAATGTGAAACATAAAAATGATTATTTTCTGAAGGAAAAGTAGAAGCAGAATATCAGTTGAAATAACATTTTTGATTCTTTTCAGAAATATACAATAACAACAAAATGTTCTATTTTCCTTGTGAAGTTTGTTTTATCATGTAATTAAATGTTCATAGTGTGGTGTGAAATGTGTGGACAGATTTACTGTATGAATCAGCCTAATGTTTCTTTCAGTATGTGGATAAGACCTTATTCGGTAGCTGCTGGCTCATCTCTTTCACTGTGTGCATAAGTATGCAAACAGTCCTCCAAATTTGTTTGTTTTGAACCCCGAGAAGTAGTAGGTGTCTATTTTTATATCTCTAAGGGAGATCCAAAATCTAATTTCACATAGAAGTGTGAACTTTTTGAATACATGGTTTTTGTTAGAAAATAATTTCACACTGACTCACAAAAATCTTTTCCTTGAATTTGTGGGAATGGAGACAAGAGATATTGTTATTTTCTAAATGGTCCAAAAATAACATGTAGTTGGTCTACAACTATCTCCACCAAGTATTTTGGTGGTATTTGTCCTAGTAATTATTGTTTATCAAACAAACCTACTGATGGGATTTTATTGGTTGAAAAATATATAGGATTTAATTCTTATAAATATTGTTTTTAAATTTATTATTGCTGTATGAAATATTGTATTCTTGTCTAATAATATCTTTGAAGATTTAGAACAGTGATTTTTTTTTTTAATCATTTCACTCTATTCAAAGCAATAAAGACTAAAATGCAAGAGGTTACTGAATGTGAAATGTTATGAGAAAAACAAAAATCATTATTAAGGAGAGTGGACAATAAAAAAAAAAAACAGAAATTAAGAATACAGAAGATAATAATTGACATTATATTTAAAATTTTTGACATTCAAAATTGATTGGAAAGCAAGAAACTGTAAGAGAGTGACTTAAAATAAAACCAATATAAAAAAAGTTGCTTGCAGTTTTTTAACCAATCTCTTTTCTTGAAACGTAAAAAAAAAACATGTATGATTCATTTTTTTCTTTTTTTTTAATCATTTCACCTCAAGCAAAGCAATTAAGAAACTGTTAACATAGAACTTACATCTAGCCATTTCAACTGTATAATTATGAGACCTAACTGCCAATCTAGTATTACACTTAAATTCATAAAGTTGAGGTACTAAAGAAAAAGCCTCATCAGAATAATTACCATAAAAATATTTGTCTATTTCTGCAGATTTTAACAACAAATTTACACTATTTACATTTGGACTATTATCCTCATCTTTGTTGTTGCTATCACAATGTTTCAGCCATTCAACCAGCTTTCATCAGATGTATATCAATTTGAGTAAACTACAGAGAATTCTGACTTGAACCCTTTATTTAATCTATAGGACTAGACTGTTCTCATTCTATTGCTCACGTCTAGAGATATTTCATCTGGCTCTTATTTTTAGTACTGCTCAGTTATTGCTTGCACCTGCTTCCACTGAGGTCAAGTACACACTATTCGGCCCGGGGATGGAACTCACAATTACTATGTCACAAAATTTACAATTGAAGACTTTAATCCTCTAAGCCAGTGATTCTCAAATGCTGTGCTGTGGCGCACTAGAGTATGATTGGATTTGAAATTCCTTCACAAATGTTCCTTGATTTATTGGACATCAGTTATATCAAGAAGAATTGGCCACCATTTCAAGTGATCAAGGGCTCGAAATAAAACATTCAATGGTACCCATTGATACATTTTGGATTTCAATACAAAAATGCTGTCCAGAGAAAAGGTTTGGGAAACACCGACTTATCCAATGTGTTCCATACTGGTGAGACTAGTTACATGTAAATAGTTACAATAACTCATCTCAGAAGTATAGACATCTGCTAGAATGTCATAAAGCAATAAAAATGAAAAACATGTTCATGGAATAATCATAATGTTTTATGATTCTGCTTAATGCTACATGTTCATTAAATTATTTGAATATTTTTTGTGCTCAACTCAATATTTTTATTTTTTACTAATATTTGTTCATAGTTTTTGTCCAAAATGAAGTTAGCATTTTTTTAAATTTATTTTGGATTTATTCTTTTGTAGGCAGTTGTTAGAAAATGAATTAGAAACAGTGGGCATCCGATTAAATCGACGTAAACCTAATATATATTTCAAAGTAAGTATCAGTTAAATATGTTTTGCTTTTTTTTCTATCCCTCCCCATCTTTAACTGAATGCTGATTGTGTGTTAAAAAACTCTGCATGATTTTTATTTGCATTTTTTACTTATGCTGCTGTGTAAATATAAAAAATGCAAGAGGTGTACATAAAAGTTTAGGGAGTTAAAGATGATTAATCAATCTTTTCATGTGTTTCCTATGTCTCGCCAGATTTATCACATATCTTTAAAAAAAATCACTCTACCAATAGATAAAATATCTTATTTTCAATCTGTTTTTTTTTCTTTTTCTCTGAGGAAGTTACATGGCACTTTACACAATAGAGGGTTTCCATAAACGCATAGGCAAAAATGCATATTTTCAAGAAATTAAATTTTCAACATTTTATTGAATTAGAATATTAACAAATAACATCTTCAATGTGATTTCCATCATTTGTGATGCAAAGGTTGATGCACTTTGCAAGATTCACGTGAACTTGTTACAACAATTTCAAATTGCCGTCAATTTTAGCATATTCACTCTTTATGCATTCAATCAAGTCTGTTGCACCTGCAATTTTTATTGAGTACACCTTCTTCTTTAGCATACCATCAATTTTTTCTTCTTTCCACAAAACCATATTTAATCTGTGGCAGTAAAAAAAAAAAAAGAAATATAGTTAATGAGATTTCCTTTGTGTCCAGACTTTAGGGACACTCTGTACAATAAAAATTGATCTTTTTGAATATAATTAAAACTAAACACTCCTAATGCTATCTAACAAAAGAATCAACATTTTAGTCAACCCAATATAGATATAAAAATAGGTACTCCTGGATATGGCATCTGAAAATACAGTAAGATGCAATGATTATAAATGTAGTTCATAGAAGAAAAACTTTTATAGTTATATTTCTATGAAGTACATTAAAGTGGTGATTGTTAAAACTCCTGCTGGATTCACCTTTTTCACTCTGGTCACCTACACTCCAAGATGGCTTTTTTTCTCTTCTCTCTTGTTGGTATATATATACACATGAGGTTGTCTCGACAATTGGCCAATAATAATCTTATAACTAAAGGATGTGAAGGATAAATTGTTGTCTAAATGATGCCAAAATGAAAATAACACTGACATCTCATTTTAACAGATATATTTACCAAAATTACACAAAAATATCTTGAAATATTAAAGAGTAAATTTATTTACTAAAGTTGCCATTGGCTTCAACAACAGCCTTGAGACGACTTTGGAATCTCCTGCAACTTTTCTGGATGGTCTCCTTGTTTAAGTTGGTGAATGCTGCCATAATCCTTGCCCTCAGTTCATCTTTGGTGTTATAAGGAGTTTTGTTGATCTCTTGCTCAACTGCACCCCACACAATAATTAAGGGTGTTGCAGTCTGGGGAGTTAGGTGGCCAGATGTAAGGGGTGATGTGGTTGTAGAAATTGTCTGACAGCCATGACTGGTTTCTCCTGCTTGTTTGAGATGGTGCAGAGTCCAGTTGCCAGACATAGGGTCTTCCAGCTGCCATTCTCTTGATCCAGGCCAGCACTAGCTCCTCAAGACACTTGATTTAGGCTGCCTTGTTGAGTGAGTCCATCACCAAGAAATCCAGGAGTTCTTTGCTTATCAGAATGATCAGAGTTCTCCGAGCTGCTCGTAAACATCATTAGACTCCTCCAATTCTTTCGGAATCCTTTGCTCTGTCCTCAGATTGACACCCAAACACTCAAATGTTTGTATTGGAGCTTCCAGTGCAAATGCCAGCATGTCATCTTCAAATTTCTGGTGGAGTAAATTGCATCATGGTGCTCTTTTTTTCACAGATGGTGCTCAACTGACCTTGCTGTATATGGTGCAGTTGACAAAATCAAAAACAAATGACGTACATGTGCATAATTAAAAATATGAAATGGTAAAAATTTACCCATTGCACTTCATATTCCCATGCTTAGCCGTGCCACCTGTGTAGGTCTACCTTTTCCAAACTGCCATTTTGCCAAGAAGAATTAACTTGATAGTGGTGGCGTGGTAAGATTTTTTTTTTTTCTTTTCTTCAGAGACTATATCTATGTTGGCCAGAAAGTCCTGACTCACTCAGGAAATGTAAAGAAAACAACAAAATTTTATGGAGCAACACCAACATTTATTCTTCAAAATAAAGTCCATCATTCTCAACAATCTTCTGCCAGCAATCAGTCAGCATCCGAATCTGTCCCTGATACCAGTCCACTGACCTTGAATCAAAAAACTGTAAACGAGTTTCCTTCACTTCATCAAAAGTGTTGAATTGCTGGTCACAGAGGACATGTGCCATTGAGCAGAATAGGCCATAGTCATTCAAAGCAGCATTGGGCCCGAATGGTGGATGTGGAAGAATCTCAACACTGTCAATCTGTTTGAACTTCTCTTTAGTCAACCTGGCAGCATGTGGCCTTGCATTGTCTTGCTGAAATAAAACCTGATCTTGATTGACCAAAGCAGGATACTCTTTTAGTTTGTTGTATACATGGTCTAAGTGCTGGTAGTACATTTTAGCAATGCAGTACGTCTTGGAAATTCCACCAAACAGAGATCAAGAGTTGTTTTCTTTCCACTTCCTAAGTTAATCAGGACTTTCTGACCAACCTAATAAAAATGAGCAGGATTCAAGCATATTTATGAATGATTTAAGTTTTACACTAGTTTTTTTCTTTTTTTAATTATTTCATCCCAAGCAAGGCAATAAAGCCACTAAGATGCAAAAGCTAAAAGAATCTGAGAATAATCATTATAGAGAGAGGATAATAACAAACAGGATTCAAGCAGATAGAAGATGATTGATACTACATTTGAATTTTTTATGAAAATGTTTAATACTCTTTTTTTTTTTCTTTTCAGCAAAAGAAAGGTGGTGGTATATCTTTTAATTCCACTGTGCCTCTTACAAAAACAAATGAGAAAATGGTTCAATTAATCCTTCATGAATACAGTATCCTTTGAAATAGTGAATTATTCAAAAGTTAAGATTCAGTTTTAAATCTGTCAAGTATTAATTTTTGACTAGCTTTTTTAAATTAATAATACTAGTAGATGCAATAAATAAAGCATTGTCAGTATGATGAATTTTTGACTAACTTTTCTTTCATTTCATTTTATTTTTTTAATGTTTATCCTATTTCTCGGGTTTTTAGATCCTTAAGAAGGCAACATGAATCAGAAATAAAAAATAAATTAGCTTTTTTTTTTTGCATTGCAGTTCAGACCAGACACAGGTTTGTTGACAGGATGCTGCTTTTTCCAGTCAAATATTTGTGGCTTTAGAAATACCCTTCAACCAGATCATTACCCACAAGTGAATAGCAAAACAATTTCTAGCAGTAAACCAGTTTTTATTCTTGGGTTGTAACCTACTGCTATAAGTGAATGAAGTTGAGGCATAGGTTGTGGTGGGAAAACAGTCTAACAGGTGTCTTCCCAGTCTTGTTCTCCAAGGGCTGCTTCATCTCTCTGTAAGTCTTTTCATAGGTACTCGTCAGTTTTATAACTAACATGGTTCTTTATCCTGTCATAAAAATCAGTTTATCTCCATTCAGTGACTTCTCTTTGTCTGGGCTGCTTGTGAAGCCCACTCCACAATACTGATAACCATCAGTCGAAAATAAATGTTCCAAATCCATTTTTGTGACAGGTCCAACTGTTTTCCATTTTAATAAGATTTCAGCTGACTGATATTGCTACACTTTTGATAAAATTTTATTTCCAATGACCATAGAATTCCGGTTTGAGAATTTTGATAAAAAACAATAAAGAAGATGAAAGGAAAATTAGTAAAATATTAATTATACTTATTAGCAACTAATTATATTCCTTGTTTTTTTTTGTTTTTTTTTACATTGCATCACATGACAGGTTCCATATGTCATTATGGTTGTATGGGCATCAGATGTACTGCAGCTATAACAGCAGTGGTGTGTATAGGGCAAGATAGCCTGACAGAACCCCTTCCTTTTCAGGCTAGTATTGAATTCAGTTTTTCTTTTCTTAGACTGGCTGCCACCTGAAGGCAATAGTGACCTGTCAGTCCTGTTACTTAGCCCATAGCTCTAGAAGAGATTGATTTATACCTTTCCCTAAGTGTATTTGTGTGAAAGGGAACATAACAAACTTGACCAGAATTCAAACTGATTGCCAATTTTTCTGAGTCATTAACCGTTACACTACCCACACATCCAAGATATTTTTTTTATTCATTCAATAAGGGTGGGGGGAATGAATGAATGCATATGTATTCTATATGTTCATATATGGAAGAGTGTAACAACACAAGAAAAAGAGAAAAAATAAGTTAAGATTATAATAATGATATAAAAAACCCTTCTGTAATAGTTAACTTTGGTTTTTTTCTCTTGACACTAGTATTGTAATATTGTATGCTCTCTTGATGTTTATTGTTTTAAAAAGTAATGTATAGAATTTTAATAACTACAAAAATATTACACACTATTTAGTAGTTATTTACAAGATTAATTTTATATTTACAAGATTATAAAAAATATATATATATATGTGAATATTTGAATTGACTGGCATTTAGCTGATGTTTTACATCGTTATTTCTTTACAAAATGGTAAATAATAAATATTGCATTGTAATTTGTTCACATATTTTTATAATCTTGTAAATATAAAATGAATTTTGTAAATAAACAATCTAACAATCAAGAAGTGTGTAACATTTTTGTTGTTATTAAAATTCTAAAAATATTATTTTAAAACAAACATTGTTGAGGGAGTACAGTAATGCGGTGTCAAGAGAAAAAATTTTCAAGGCCTGTCAGTTGCAATATCCTTATTGTTAATTTCACTCAAAGTTGTTTTCTGTTGCCATAGCAGGATATGACAACACAAATATGAAATTCAAACTCAGAGATCAGAGTCACCATCAGTGGCAGGATAAACTTTTTGTACAGCAAATGAAGTCACATACAGAGTGATAAATGTTAAATGTATTCTATAAACATAAGGTCTTATGTTTCTATTCTTTAAAGTTTTCTTTCTTAAAATAGAGTAAAAAAAATAACACCAATTGCTTTATTAATTGAAAGAAAAACATTGTTCAAAGTATTGAAATGAAAGTAACCAGTTGTCATTTAATGGCATAAACAAATTACTAATTGCTGTCCAATAAAGGACACGTGTCAGCAGTGTCTACTTATCAGAAAATACTGTCACCCATTGACAAAAATCTCTTTAATCACTTCTAAAAGTTTAAACAATTTTTATAAAATTTACCGTATTTTCTTGTGGATAATACAAGAAATTTTGAATGAAGATTAAAAGTAAAATGGAGTGAGGGGCGTATTATATACAAATACACATTTTCAGAAATTTTTACTCAGCTTAAAAAGCTTGTATCTGGAACAGCAAGATTGCAAATACACTCAGCTTTAGAAACACGTTGTATTAGACACAAGAAAATATGATATATCATTAAAAAATTTTCGAGAAAAATTTGATATCAAAATTAATTTTTCTGTTATATTGAAACAATTCATTGTGTTCAAAAGTAACATTTGTACAAAAAAAAAATATAGAAAATCAATTATATAATTTCAGTGACAAAATCAATTTACATTTTAAAATTCAACTCAAATTCAACCAATTAATGGAATTAAACTTTTGTTCTTTATTTATTAATTACTAAAGGAAATTGAAATTTCAATGGAAACATATGATCCTGATTTTGAAATGACATAAATCAGAAACTATCTGTATTGTTCACAGCACAAAATTTGGTTAGTATTTAAAAGAAGTAAAATTTAATTTCTATTTTTCATCAATGAGTTTTTTGTTATTCTATTTTGATGATTGTTTTTATTTTCTTTAACCAAATTCTAGAAATATTTAATTGTGAAGTTCTATTTAGAGATGATTGTACTGCTGATGAATTAATAGACGTGATTTTAGGGAACCGAATATATATGCCATGTGTGTATGTAAGTATACTTAATCTATAAGTATTTTTATATTTGTTTTTTTGTGGTCATGATGACTTGTGATTTTATGTTTTCAATTGAATTACTTATTCAAGATTTTAGGCAATGCTGAGAATGTTTCAGTTAGGGCTTCAAAATTATATATTTTAAAAGTGTATATAAGTGTTGAACTCTAGGGAAGGTTACTGAATAGAATAATCAAACGAAGGTTGGTAATGAATGATAATACTTAGGACAAGAACAACACATATAAGATTCACCAGCAGTGCATAGAAGTAGTAGTCAACTGCTAGAAGTGAGTCAAGTGAATTCCATAATAAATCTACAACTGCAGGATATCTACCAACCACTCCACATGGTCAGACGTGGTACAAGACTGAATTTAATGTGGGGTATCCGAGCCCATAGGCTTGGCCAAAAATTCCCTGTAGACCCCATATAAAATGGAGTCGGGTAGCTGTTTCCTGAGATAAAACTCTGCCCTTCAACATAGCCTCATCTGGGGATCCTCTCTGCCCAGAGGCAGAGAGTTTGACCAGCACAGCCGGAGACAAATCTCCAACTGCAGACTAACATGCAGTATTTACTACTATATTTATGTGAATGGGGACATACCCATTATCTTCCATAGGTATGCTGCAAAAATATTTAAACAAAGTGAGAGGAAGAGTAAAGATAAGGAAAAAAAAATTACTCCTCATAAACTAGTGTATTGAAAAATATAAGGGCTAATCAGTTATTGCTCTTTACTCTTCAGAGCTAACAGAGGACAAAACATAAATATGTGCACAATGATCAATTTTTTTTTTTGCATATTTGTGTATATACCAGGTACATTCCAGTCCTAGGTATGATGATATACATCTGGCAGCAAGGCCTCTGATTGGGAAGTTTTTAAGAAGCATGGAACCACCTCTTAATTGCTGTTGTTCCCAGGTCCACCCTGACCAAGGGTAGTAGCACCTGTTAGGGTCCCAGCTATGGGCAAATAGTGAACCCCCAAACAAAACAAAAAAAATATGAAAGTATAAAATTCATTTTTATATTTAAAAAAATAAAACAAAAATACCACCAATACACATTTACATGAAAAAGACAACAATACCTATTTATAGTAAAATGACCAATGTGCATTTAGCATGAAACAGACTGTTGCCACTGGATGTTGACTTCAATGTCTACTTTTATATTTACATATGCTCTATCCCTGATATTGAGCACTTTAACCCATAAATATAGCATACCTTAAGACTATATTTTATCATATATATATATATATATATATATATATATATATATTTGTGTGTGCATATATATGTGTGTGCATGTATGCTGATGCATGTACGGTACACAAAAATGGAAATAGATTTGACAGTCTCAAGGGTAATGTAGAAATAGGAAAACATCTCTCATCAATGGATCTATCATCACCACCACTTCGACCCGAACTTAATGATTTTATTACCATTTAGGCAGAAATTCACTTTTGCCAACAGTCCAGAAATGTGATCAAGACTCAATACAAATGCAGAAAAAGAACAATGAAGCATTAAAAGAACATGAAGAAAATTTATTCCTGTAAAAATTGATTCCTTTTATTTGCTTGAAGAAGGTTACTAAACCAGAAACCTATGTAGCAAAAATATGAAGAATAAAATATAATATATACACTAAAACAAATCCACATTATGACCAAAAACGTTTGTGGTTTCTCCTTTTTTTTTTTAATATATATATATATATATATATATATATATATATATTCTAATGTGATGAATTTTATATATATATATTCTAATATGATGAATTTTATTTATCAATCCAACAAATTTTTATCACTGCTGGAGTGCGCATATTTTTTCTTTAATAACATTTCTTAAATATTCAGGCTGGTGGATGATAAATAAATATACTGTTTAATAAATAAATGGAGCATCTACTCAAATATAAGTATCGGCTAAAAATTACATTTAAAGTGATATATATGCCCATATTTAGCTTTAAAACACACTTTAAAAGTATATGTAAATATATATCGAAAATATATAAAATAGTGAGGGGTAAGAAGAGCAAGGATAAGGAAAAGAAATTACTCACTGTAAAATGGTAGATAAAAACATAGAACAACAAAAAAAGGGCCAGCCGGTTATCACTCCTCGGAGTTCAATCAAGGACAAAACATAAATATGTGCACAATGACTAAAACAAAACAAGAGAAAAATTACTACTAGAAAATTATATAATAAATTTATAAAAAAAAATTACAGATAGATTATATTTAAATCTAACAGTCATTCCTTCTGTTTACAAAGGAGATGCTGTTTAATGACACAATGTATTATGGGATACCTCTGTTCAGACTGATCATGCCAATGAATCCTGCAGAACTGAACATATTGTAACAGATAATGAAAGTAGCAAGTATCAAATTGATGACACCATAAGACAAGAACAATTTTTGTCATTCAATAATAATGTTTTGTATATTGAATTTTTAATTTTTTTTATTATAATATATTTTTTTTCTGTATAACAAATGCAAATTGCTGTATTTTCTTGTGCATACTACAAAAAATTTTGAACAAAAATTAAAGGCAAAAAATGGTGGAGGTGTATTATACACAAGTACATGTTTTCAGAAACTTTTACTCAGCTTAAAAAAAAACTATTATTTGAAACAGCAAGACTGTGAATACAATTGGTTAGGACAATAGTTAATAAAACACAAAATAAGTGTTGTTAACAATTGTTTACAAAAGGTATTTGATATGTCGGCCATATTTGTTCTTTGGAAATCAGGGCAATTGAACATGTCTGAAAGACAGGAAATTAATTAAAAAAATTAATATAGAGAATACACAAGTTCTGTCATGTTTTGATAACATTAATGTTACAACGAGGCATATTTTCCTGAAAATAAGTCTGGAAACAGAAATTAAGTGAAGAAACCTGCAATGACTAAACATCAGGTTTATTTCTGTTCTTTAATATCATGAAAAATTAAATAATTTGATGAAATATATGTATGACATTTTAATGGATAATGATATAATGGAATATGCATACACCTGTGTTCCCCCTCAATGGAATATGATTGGCTGGTGTCCGTCATAAATATTGACAGATGTGTAGAAGAGTCAGAGCCTTAGTCTGAGAGCTAAGTCTATAACGACACTCATTGGACTACACCATTGATCTACACTTCTTACCTGCAACTACGACACGTACCAGTCAATTACTGCTACCGTATTCTACTTGGTTATAGTAGCTAAAACCACTTAGCTACTTTGTTCAAATATATCCCTTTTCGGGACATATCAGATAATATGGTACAACTTTTAAAAAAAAAATTACTTATGGATGTCTGTACTCAGTCATTTATATGCCATGCATGATACACACTTAGGCAATCATGTATCTTTTGATACATGAATGATGAAGCAGATTTTTTCCCCACAGTAGGTTGCCCTTTCTTTCTGTGGTAGACCAGTTATCATCCAAGGCTATAGAACCTGGTCTGTCCTGCTATTTTTCCATAGATGGTGGGTGAAGAAGAGGATTCATACCTTTTCCAATGGTATTAGCACACATGAAATTAATGAATTTGACTTGAATTTGAATTCAGCTCTCTGATTACTCAATCCAAGCCGCTATCCATTACTCCACAGTGCCTCGTGTATTACAGGGACTTATTATATTATACTCAAGGAAATATGGTAATACGTTATATTGATAAGGTCATTCTTATTTGATTTTAATGTATTTTTCTTTTATTTCTAGGTGTATAACAAAATTGATCAGATTTCTATTGAAGAAGTTGATCGACTTGCTCGAAAACCCTACACTGTTGTTGTCAGGTATACTCAACATGCTATAAGTTTTTTATGAAAGTTGAATGATGGTTTGTTTTGTTTTATAGCATATAAACCTCAATGGATTATTTAATGTTGACAAAATGTTTATTGCTAGTAACTTTTTTTTTTCCTGAAAATGTATTACTGGTAATATTTTTTTTCTTCAAAAATCTATTTCTGAGAATATTTTTTCTTCAAAAATCTAGTGCTGATAATATTTTTTTTTTCAAAAATGTATAGCTGTATTGCTGGTAATATTTTTTTTTTAAAGTAATACTGGTAATAATTTTTTCCTTCAAAATTTGTTGCTGGTAATAATTTTTTTTTTTTTTTTTTTTTTTTTTTTACAAAGTATTTCTGATATTAAAAGCTATTTTTTTATTGGGGGTTAACTATTTGCCCATAGCTGGGTTCCTAACCGGTACTACCACCCTGGGTCAGGGTGGACCTGGGAACAACAAAAATTCAGAAGTGGTTCCACACTCCTCAAAACCTCCTGATCAGAGGACAGGCTGTTGGACATAGTTTATCGTCTTACCCAGGATGGGAAAAGTTGAATGATTTCCTCTCTAAACAAACTACATTGCTAATGCATACTTTCTTGTTGCCATAACATAGCTTCCTTGGCCTTCTCTACAAATATTTTCATGGTAATTCTTCTGAACATTCCTTTTTGATACCTCAACTTCATGAGTTTAAGATTGGCAGCTTAGTCTTATAGTATTACTGTTGAAATTGCTACATGTTAACCATAAATTCTATTCGAAAAGTTTCTTGTCTCACACTTTTCGCTTATGGAACTCACTTCTGGCTTGTTGATTTTCTGTCAACTATGATCTTCAAAAAATTTAAATGTAACATCAATTGTCATTCATCTTCTGTTTCCTTGAAACCTGTTCTTTTATTGTCCGATCTCAATAATGTTTTTCTAAGATACTTTCACTCTCAGTAACTGCTTGCATCTTAGTGGCTTTATTGCTTTGAATAGGGTAAAATGATTCTTTCACTCAATGTGAATAAAACAAAATACAGCCTTTTTTGTTCTTCAAATATGTCAAAAATGTTTTGGTCCAAAACTTATTCAAAGATCAAGGTATGCAAAATTTCTCAGGGTGCTGATTGATGAAAATCTAAACTGGAATATGCAAATTTAAGCAATAGCATAAAAGTTGTCAAATCAAATAGGCATTGTTTGCCGTGGATGTAAGTATCAAGATGTTGTAACATATCTACGGATGATAATGGGTATGTCCCCATTCAGATAAAGAGAGTAGTAAACACTGTATGTTGGTCTGCAGTTGGAAATTCATTGTGGAATTCACTTGACTCATTTCTAGCAGTTGATTACTTTTACGCACCAATGGCGATTCTTATATGTGTTGTTCTTGTCCTAACTATTATCGTTCATTACCAACCTTTGTTTGATTATTCTATTCAGTAACCTTCCCTAGGTTATAACATTTTGACAATGAAGATGAAATCAAAATTAAAACACTAGAAAATGCTTTACATTTCATTTGTTATTCTTTATCTACAATATGGAAATTTGGTTTGAGTTAAACAAAACAAAATACATTACAAAAGACAGCAGTCTGGATTATATGCAGAATCTATCTTACATATTTATAAGTCTATCATTCTTCCATGCTTAAATACTGCTGCCACTTATGGTCTGGTGCTGCTGCTGTATATTTAGAGATTCTTAATAAAATCCAAAAAAGAACCTGCAATGTTATTGGTCCTGATGTGGCATTTTGGTTTCAGTCACTTTCCTACCACTGTAATGTAGCTTCTCTGTGCCTTTTCTATAAATATTTTTATGGTAATTGTTTTGATGAACTTTCCTCTTTGGTACCTAGACTTTATGAATTTAAGCATAGTATTAGATTGGCAGCAAGGTCTCATCATTTTACATCATTTTATTTGAAATGGCTAGATGTAACTTAAGTTCTATGTTAACAGTTTATTTTCTCACAGTTCTCACTTGTGGAACTCTCTTCTGGCTCCATGCTTTCCAGCCAACTTTGATCTTTAAAAATATAAATGAAATGTCAATTATCTTCTGTCTTCTTGATTCCTGTTCTTTTATTGTTCTTGCTCCTTAATAATGTTTTTGTTTTTTTATTATTACACTTTCACACTTGTAACCCCTTGTATCTTAGTGACTTTATTACTTTGCTTAAGGTGAAATGATTAAAAAAAAAAATGGAGACCTCCTCTCTGCCTGAAGTTTCCCACTCATGACCACTTATTTTAGACAACAGAATTCTTAACATTTATGAAATCAACTTAGTTCTGTATATTATGTTCAAAGTGTACTACAATTTAGTTCCTTTAAAAATTTATAAAAATAAGCACAAATATCTTATGAAGTATTCAAAAGCAAATTTAAAATCAATTACTCAATGACAAAGTATAATAAATTTAGCTGTCTATTCCAAGGACCTATAATATGGAACCATCTCGTTTTTAGGATTCATTCTGATACTATGTACTCTTACGTAGAAGGGGAAGATGTGGCTTTATGTCAATCTCAAGTGTTTCTGTTTGATGTACAAGCAAATTGTTACTTTTGAAGTTTAGCCTTCTAAATGTCATCCATTCTGACCTAAGGGTAACACAGAAGTAAAGAGATGGATGAGAGAGAGATGTTCAATGTTCATGTTAAACTCAAGACGTGCTGATCTCAACAAGTATTTCAGCGTTCGTACTAATTGCAAGAAGTGTCCAGCATTTGGGCTGACCACAAGAAGTGTCCAGTGTTCATGCTGATCTTGAGGTACCAATGAGGATAGATCATCAAAACAATTACAACGAAAATATTTATAGAAGAGGCAAAGAGAAACTATGCTATAGAGGTGGTAAAGTGAGATGCCAGGTCAGGACCAATAACTTTGCAGCTTCTTCTTTAGGTTCTTGAGCAGAAGTACCAGATCAGATGTGGCAGCAATATTAAGTTCACTGATGACTTGTAAATGTGCAAGATATATTCTGGCAAGAAAAATTGTCTAGCATGGTATTATTATTATTATTATTATTATTATTATCATCATCATCATCCTCCTCCTCCTCCTCCTCATCCTTCAACCTCCCTCTGGTTGGTCGGAACTTAGTTCTTTCACTCCCTGTAACCCCCTGTGTCCTCATGGCATTATTGCCTTGCTTCTGAGGAAACAATTAAAAAAAAAAAAAATTATCTGGTGAATATTATTGAACTTGAGAAACATTAAGTATTTGTGAAGAGGATAGGTTAGCATCTGCCGTGCTGATAAAAGACAAAAAAAGGTTCTTTAAAATGAGTAATAGAGAGCAGTTTCATTTTAGATGCATTAAAATTAACAAGCCATTTTTTAACAACAGATGGTAGGTCATTTTTGAGATCAGCTGCCTATTTCATTTTATTGAAATTGAGAAATGTTAAGTATTTGTGTTGAACCTGAGAAAGTTTTGGCAATTATGTTGGACTTGTGACTTTGGATTTTAAATTATTTTGATCCATCAGTTACCAATTGGACAATTGACACAAAACTATAGTCAATACTAATTCTTTTTTTTTTTTCATTTTCTTTTGCAGTCCTGGGCATTTTTAAAAAGGATCGGCAATACATATTTATAGTAAAATTTGTAACAATACATCTTTGAAGCAAAATAACAAGCAATACATTTTTTTCTGTAGTTGAAGGCATACAATTGTGTTCAAAGCATATTTAGTTAAAGCCATAAAATTGTATTCAGATTATTTAAATTTTGGCATTAAATAACCCCTAGAGGTGTTGATATGTCACTAAAGAAAAGAAACCAAACAACTAACATTAAAAATCTTTTATGGAATTAATCTATATTTCATATCACCACCTCTAGTAATTATGACACACAAACAATTATAGGTACAAAAGCTGAGAATCATCTACCATGTATTCAACTGTGGAAGCAGAATAACATATATCCTATTTTTATTACTTCAAAACTCCCAAGAAAATTAAATGACCCATAAGGAGTTGATATGCCATTAAACAAATAAATCAACCATTTTCTTTTGATTACTGTTAATTTTACTTGTAATATTTAATCATCTTTTTATGTTTTAAGATTATTAACTTGCATTTTTAAATAAATATTTCAAACTTTTATTTGGAAATGACTGAATTTAATTTTCTATTGTGTTGCAGTTGTAACATGAAATTGAATCTTGACTACTTCTTGGAATCAGTCTGGGAATATTTAGCCTTGGTTCGTGTTTATACAAAGAAAAGGGGAGGTAAGCCATTCCCTTTCATTGCTAAATTGTGTGTAAAAGCATAAAAATTTGAAAAATATTGTTAATAAGATTAATAACAACTTGATATAAAATTTCTCCCAAGAAATTCTTTTATTTTATATTAAATTATAATGTTTATTCAACTATTTCATTCATTTGATTTTTTTTTTTTTTTAATTTTTAATAAAAGTGCCATGTCCTTTCAAGACGTGGACAATTATGACTTTCCATAGATTCCTTTTTTTTATTATCTGTGAAGTGCCATAACTTTCTTCGGAAAGATAGTTCTTCATAGTTTTTCAACTCAGAGTTGTCCTTCACTTAGACTGGCTTCTGCCCAAGGCTAGAGAGCCTAGTCTACCCTGCTATTTAACCCCAAGCTGGCAGAGGGTAGAGATGAATTCATGCTTTATCCAACAGTAAAAGTGAACAGACTAGGCTGGAATTTGAATTTGGCACACCACTTCCAGTTTCAGTTACCTGTTACACTACCTGCATGTCTGTTTGATAATGTGATTATAAATAAACCCAGTTTTATCAACTGTTTTATAGGAAATGATGATTATATATTTATTTGCCAAATATCATATCTTATTATAATTGTGCTTGTTTCTTTCTTCAATGGTTTACATGACTGTTACACTCTGCTAGTATCTCATAAATAATGGACTATTCTGTTTTGACTGCATGGGAAGAGGGGGAAAGGACAAAAGACACTAACTGGTTTCTGTGAGAAAATGAATGAAATAAAGAAGGGAATACAGAAGTGGAGAGAGAGAATCAGATTAAGCTGATAAGACCAAATACTACACTTTGATCTCAGCCAAAATGTGATGATGACCACAATAAAAGCGCCATTTTTCCAATGCACAATATCAAACAAATCGCCAAAAATCCAGTTACCATAAATGAAATAACATTGTCTACTGAATTATTTTTAGATTATTATTATTAAGAGAAATGTTCATAAAATGGAGGTTTGGCTAGAAAGAAGGAAACATAGAAGTGTTTAATGTCTCTTGCCAATACCTCATAAATAATGAACTATTCCATTTTTGATTGTGTAGAAAAACAAAATACATACACTATTTGGTTTCAGTGAAAAAATGAATGAAAGAAGTGAAATGGAAAAAGTTGTCAATTTCAAATAATTTCATTTGTACCCTCTTCTTAAAATAATGACCAGCAATCATGTCTCTGATTGTTATTGAAATATTTTTTTAAAGTTGTTAAGCTCAAATATTTAACAATGTGATAGGGTTGCAAATGATAGAATCTAAATATCACTATGTTTTGTGTTTTTATTGTCAGAGGGTCCTGATTTTGATGGTGGTTTGATATTAAGAAAAGGATGCACTGTCGAGCATGTGGTAGGTTACCACTTTTATTTTTTATTGTTAATACTAATCTAATCTTGTGTGCTATCAAGTCGGATAAATTCTCTTTTATACCGTTGGCCAATAGTGAAAATGATTTTTACATTTTATCTTTCATGGCATTGGCCAGTTGTTATTACATTTATGTTGTATAATTATATTACGATTATTATTATATGATTTTGGCAAAGTTTAGCAAGTGTACCCACAAAAAAAGGGTGGGTCAAAAGGACAGTTTTTTTCTCCTGACACTATTATTACATATGCTCCCTCTGCAAATTTTATTGTTTTAAAAATATATTTTTAGAATTTTAATAAAACCTAAACATATGAAACTGAAGCAATAGGTTTTTTTCTTGACCCTCAACCTATTTGAATGTATTTATCTGGTGAGAGCAAATGAAAGAAAGGCTCGGAAATCCATTTTCTTCTTGGCCCTTGACCTATTTTAGTGAATTTATGTGGCTTGTAAATGTTTTTGAATTTTTAGTTAAGGCTGGAGGGTTAGAATTTAGTAACTCCACTCTAGATATGACAGCAGTCTGCCATTTTTTTGTTTAATCTGACTCTTGCAAAGATAAAAGAGAGCAGGAGTCTGATGCAAGAGCAGATCATTTTTCCAATGTCGTTATCAATGGATTGTATACAGGAGTTCTACTTGAGGTCTGTAGAGAATTTGAGATACAATAGACTTTCAAAGTGTGAAGCCTGGACTGGAGAAAACTGTCTTATCAGTGATAATGAAATGATAATAGCTTCATTTTTGAAGTATTGAATGTAAAAAGCCAGTTCAATGAGTTGATAAAACTAGACCAGAAGAGAAGATTGGCTGCAATCTTGAGTTTTGATTTTTCTCATCCAATGCTAAGTAAACAGTAGAAATAAAGATTCACTGAGACTTCCTATTTGATTTGAGGCTTATTCTTTATTTCTGACAAACCACTGTTTATTGAAAGCAAAAACATGAGTAATAATAAAAAAAAAAACTAAGCATGATTTTCTGTTAACTAAAAAGAATTTTAGGCAAATATGATGAATTTTTGTTTTTTAAACATTTCCCCTCAAGCAAAGCAATAAAGCCACTAACATGCAAGAGGTTACTGAAAGGGAAAGAATCTGCGAAAAATCCCTGTGAAAAACTTTCCATCACCCTTTCTCGCTTCATAGGGTGTGTTCATATCTGTGATCTTCCAGAATGGTTCTTGTGCACATTGTGTACAGTACCATCAGCTCCAAACTTAACACTGATTCATGAGATTATTAGCCACGTGGGTGGATCTAAATGAAACTCTCTTTAATATCGCCTTTGAATTTCAACTGCATTTTCATACTTCCAGTAACATTTCAGGATGAACTTTCTTTGTTCAAAGCTTAGCCTGGATGACATTAGTAAAACTACCATGTAAATCTGAAAAGAAAGCATGTTGAGTTATACACTTTAAAAGTGTGTATACATTCCTTTAAGATACCCCGTATATATTATGTCTTAAAAATGTTTTTATAGTTTCCAAATTATATATGCATTAATTCTTCCTTCACTGCATTTCTTGTCTACAATATAGATATTTTATTTTTTCAGTGTCATACAATCCATCGTAGTTTAGTCAGTGCTTTTAAATATGCCTTAGTTTGGGTAAGTATTTTCTTTAATGATTCTTATAATTACATATAATAATAAACAGTAATTGTTTCTTTTTTTTCCTGTCCGTAAATTTGGTCATATTAAATCAAAGCAGATAAAATTAAAAAGTGAATCCTACACTCAGGGTTCCGGATTAACTTTTGTGATGTTGGACAGCTTCACTTGTCACTTTTGCAATGTCAAGCGAAAGCTTGTTATTACTTCCAAAAATGCTTGTTATATTCAAGACTTCATAAACACCAGTACTAGTAATAATACCTTCCAATATATCCACACTGGTTCAAGTAGTAATCATCAAATAGTATAATGATCAGAAGAGAATCATAATCCATTGAGTAGAAAGAGTGAACATATAGCAATAGTGGATAGACAAGAAGAATGAACAGTGATCATATAGTCATCATGCTACTTCCTATTTATTCACTTCCTTTATGATCATGTGATCTACTTAATAATGGAATCACCCATGTTACTAACTGGCGATCTAGTTTCAAACCACAGTGTCAACAATGACACTTACTCTTATACAATACATTGTTTTTCAAAAATGTCTAAAATGTCAGCTATATACAACTGCTTTCTAAGATAAATGGTAAAAAATGCCTTCAAGAAAATGAAGCATGTAGGTCTTAGAGCAGACCAAACTTCTTCAAACCATGTGGACTGGCACTATCAAATCACAAACAAAAAACTGTACCAAATAACAGAAACTACATCACTTGAAGACTTCCAATAGCAGCAACGACTAAAATGGATAGCAAAAAGAAAATAATGACATAATGAAGATGCTGATATTCTACATTACAAGTAAAAGGTTGAGAAGGAAATTATTACCTTTACCATACATTGTTTTGTGATGTTGAATGGCTTCACTTGTCATTCTGAAATAAAAAACAGAAATTAGCAATGAAATTCTACCACTTTTGGAATCACAATATATTTTGTTTCATGCAAATGTGGAGCAAAAGTAATTTTCAGTATAGAGTTCCTTTCCACCCATAGTTTTGAAAATGCATAAATATAAAACCAAAATAGTTAAATTTTACTGGAAGTTTTATAAAATCACAACTTTATTTTTATTTCACCATTACAGTTGAATCAATTTGAATAATCTTACATGAAAATGGTCTAATTAATTTTCATGTTAGAGATAACTTTTATCAAACTTTTATTTAAGAATTGTACTCTATTCATTCATTTTATATATGAAAAATTTTTGGCAAACATGGACTATTGTGCCCACAATAAGACATAGTATCAAAAGGATGGTTTTTCCCATGACATTTCTTTTTTAACTACCTTCACTCTTTGGCAATATTTATTGTTTTAAAAAACAATGATTAGAGTTGGAATAAATCCTAAACACATGATGAAAATGAATTTATACAATTTGTTTTGTTCTTGAGAATTTACAACAAAAATATTAAACACTATATTAAATAGCCAGTCAAAAGTGAATAGTGTCTTATAAATGCAAATCTTTTCCAAACCCTCAAAATATTCTGTTCAGTTTTGTGTTCTAATGTAAACAAAACAATTTCTAATGAAATAATGACTGAGTTGATCCAAAAGAATTTCAGATCTAACGACAGTTTCTCCTGCTATGTGTGTGTGTGGGGGGGTGCTCAGGTTTGAATCCTGCTGGAGAGCACATATTCTTCTTTAATAAGATTTCTTGAGTATTCAGGCCAGTAGACAAAAAATACATAAATATACTGTTTAATAAATGAACAGTGTCTATTCACATATGGATATCCACTAAAGTTTAACTGTCCTGGGTATGACGATAAACTACATCCGCGTCCCAGGTAAGACGATAAACTGCATCCAACAGCAAGGCCTCTGATCAGGAGGTTTTGAGGAGCATGGAATCACTTCTTGATAGCCAGTGTTCCCAGGTCCTCCCTGATCTGGGGTGGTGGCACCTGTTGGGGCCCCAGCTATGGGCAAATAGATAACACCCAAACTGGGGTCAAAATACTATGAAAGTGTAAAAATAATTTTTAATACCATAAATACTTTGTAAAAAAATTATTAGCAGCAATACTTTTAAAAAAATAAAATTACCAACTATTTACTTTTGAAAAACAAACATAAAAATATTAAAAAAAAAAAAGTTCAACAATAATTCTTCTACCGCCACTTAATTTAAAGACAATTTGACATAGGTAGGTCCTTACTTTCTGTACAAACAATTATTTTTATTTCATACATGACTTTAACTAGATTTTGCAATTAATTTTGATTATTCCCAAATTTATTTCCAAGTAATTGTACAAAAAGATTTGTTGCAAAAATTCACTAAAAAATTGCTGAAACCAATCAGAGTAATGAAAACTTGTGAATCCAAAATTTCAGAATTGCAGGTTCAGATCTGGCCTGGGATATTTTTAATTTGTTCACGGAGTTGGCCTGATTTCAAAATGGTATGATTTGTTGGGCTATGGCCTTTAGTAGTAAAGTTAAAAAAGTGTGACATAGTGACACACTGACATTCACATTTATTATATAGGTGAGCTATTGAGAGTTGTGTCCCTTGAATTGAAAAGTGTGACACAGTGACATTCGCATTTATTATAGATTAATGAGTTTTATTCAAGCCTTTTCTTGCATTTTATTGCAGAAATCTGAGTTGATGTTCTCTCAGTCAGAAGACTAGAAAGCACAAAATTATAAATAAAACTGCTTTTAATAAGACTTGAACTTCAATCTTCCACCATGGATTAAAGAAGAACTGTTAGTAGGTAGTAAGCCAAAAATGGTAGATAGATTAAGAGTGAAAGTGATTGTTGATTAACACCAGATTTGTGCACCATTTAACCTCCAACACTTTCATTATTTATTCATATTACATAGCAACAATAATAAGATGGAATAAAACTAGTAATACAATAATAGTAATAATGAAGAGTGTATTGAGCCAGAGTGTTGAGATAAAAAGCAACAATAATAAGATGGAATAAAACTAGTAATAAAATAATAGTAATAATGAAAAGTCAGTCAATTCAAAGTGTTTTGATAAAATGTAATAATAATAAAACTAGTAATAATAGAAATAATATATTGCATTTTAGTAAATAGAATAAGTAATAAAATAATAACAATTAAACTAATTTGTCAGATTTAATAGCCTGTTTAATAATTGACAAAAAAACAAGGAAAATACATTGGCATATTTGTTAGTTGTAGGTTTTTTATGTTGTAATTTAATAACTACATTAACAGTAAATGTTTTGTGAATTTACAAATGTTTGGTGTGTCTTCTGCAGGGTACCAGTGTGAAGTATAGTCCACAAAGAGTAGGAATCCAGCATCAAATGCACCACGATGATGTCATCCAAATTGTGAAAAAATAAAACAACAGTATAAAAAAAAATTTGCAATAAATTCATCCACATTCTAAAGAAGTCCACTTGAGTTATTAACTTTACAAACTGTATCATGATCATTTTCTAATATCAACTGAATAAGATCCAGACTTGGTTGTTGTTGATCATGTGTTAGAATTTTACAAGTGAGATCTACTTTAACAATATGGCTGAGCTATGAAACATTGGAATTATACAAAAGTGCAGGCATTTTTTATTTTGTGTTGGGAATTACTTTAATAAATTGGCTGCATAATCATCTACATTTTTTGCTCTTTTTTTTCACTGGCTTTGCCAAATGTCTTCTGTTTTTGAGTGTTGAATGTCGATTGAAAGGTTAGGTTTTTATGCTTCATGCCAATATATATTTTTTTCTTAAACCATTGAAGGCAAAATTTAACAAATGTATCCTCAGAAAAACAGTGTGTCAAAAGACAATTCATCTCTTGGCATTGCTATTACTGTATACTCCATCCATAGTTTTAGTGTTTTAAATATATTTTTTTAGAATTATAATAAAACCCAAATCATATAAAATTGCATTTATACATTTTTTCTCAAGAATTGACAGCAAAAATTTCAAACACTATTTATTTATTACATTATTTATTTGCAAGAATCATTTAATATTTATGAAATTATAAAAATATGTGAACCAATTACAATGAAATATTTATTATTTACCTGATTACAAAGAAATAACTATAAAAATCGCAGTAATGAAAACTTGCGAATCCAAAATTTAAGAATTGCGATCCAGCCCGAGATGTTTTTAATTTGCTCATAGAGTCAGCCTGATTCCAAAATGGTATGATTTGTTGGACTACAGCCTCTAGTAGTAAAGTTGAAAAAGTGTGATATAGTGACATACTGACATTCACATTTATTATATAGAAGATGAGCTATTGAGAGTTGTGTCCCTTTCATTGAAAAGTGTGATACACTGACATTGGCATTTAGTATATAGATTAATGAATTTTATTCAAGCCTTTTCTTGCATTTTATTGCAGAAATCTGAGTTGATGTTCTCTCAGTCAGAAGACTAGAAAGCACAAAATTATAAATAAAACTGCTTTTAATAAGACTTGAACTTCAATCCTCCACCACAGATCAAAGAAGACCTGTTAGTCAGTAGTAAGCCAAAAATGGTAGATAGATTAAGAATGAAAGTGATGGTTGATTTGTGCACCATTCAACCTTCAGCACTCTGCATTATTTATTCATATTACTTTATTTTCACAGAATTCTTTTTTCATGGTTAAGTAGCCCTATTATTGATTTCAGTTAATATTGTTTTAACTGTTTCTATAGCAGGACATGACAACACAACTGCAAAATTCAAATGAACAATGGTATAGTTCAGTAATTGGAGTCCACCACACTGGAAAGACACTCTTTTTGCTTGGAGAACAAAGTCACCTTTAGATGACTAAATGTTAATAATCAACATTTCTATGATTGAAATAGGTATAGCAATATTTATGAAATACAGGCTTACTGAGGTGTAGTAAGTTCAAGTCTTGTCAAAAATAATACTATAATAATAATGCAATATTTATTATTTACCTTATTACAAAGAAATAACAATAAAAACAATTTTTTTATTCATTAATCCAAAAAAATATCTGTGAAAAAAAGAACAAGGACTTTTTAAATATGAATAAAATTGTAATTATAAATTTTGAAAAAATGCATTTTTTGGACCTTTCTTTCATTTGCGACATAAATTCATTAAAATATTTTGAAAACATCTGATTTACACATTTTTACACATTGACAAGAAAAATGTTAAACACTATTAGATTTTTTTTATTTAAAAGAATAATTTTGTTGTTTAACCATTACAACAATTCGATATCTAATCCTCATGATACTGATGGACCAGTTACCATGTTCTTCACTTTTATAGTGAGTAAAATAGCTCAGAGAATAATATTCAATGTAGTACTTACTGCCTGTATCCCTAGGAATAGGGTAAAACTAGTGGCTGGATTCATTGTTTATATATTACTTTTGCAAATAATTTGAAACATTTTTTTTGTATATATAAGAACAATTGAGCTGCCAAACAAGTTCTGTCAGAAGTTGATATTGTCACCATTATTTTTATGTAAAAAAAAAATATATAATAACAATCTACCTACTGGCAGGAGTGACAAGCTAAAAAAACAATGGTACAACCCGGTCTATATAAATGTAGAATAAAGTTGTTTTCCTGAACAATTTTGATTGTCTTTGATTCATTCTACCTCACCTGTTATCTTCTTCCATAGGTTATATAGCCAATGAGAAGTATTCTGATTAAGTTATGAAGTTGGAAATATTTTTTTCAAAGTGTATTTCATTGATTTATAAAGTAGCACTGAACTTTACAATTTCTAAAACAGTTTTATTTTCATTTCACTGTTTATTTTTGTTTCCTTTTTTGTCTTTTACTATTTTGTAAATTTCTACTGAAAGATAAATACATATTTGCAGTCAAAAATTACTTAACACAATGTTTGACACATTGATAGAATTATAGACAAAAACTGTATAACATTTTTTATTGAATGTTGGTAAATATTTCAAAACTTCTATTCCTGTTTTCACTGCACTCCAATGTGGATTATTTTGAATGAGTTTTACAATCCTTTTCCAATGTTTCAATTGACAGTTCTTTTATTTAAGCTATATTTACCATTCCGTTAGTTATGCTCAACTGTTGAGGTCTGCAAGGATCTCTTTCTTTTAACTGTGGACCAATTTGCATGGATAAGTTTCTGCTGGTATTTGTTTTTGGAATGCAAATTACAAAATCAATCTACAATTTTTTCTTTGATATTGAGTTATTCTGTAATATTTTCCTCCTCATGGCTTGGAAAAAGTTATAAAATTAATTTAAACAATTTAATCAACTTTGTTTAAGATATAAAACCAGAATATTCAGGGACTGAATAAAAACGTTTTGCATTTCATGTTATTAGTTTATTTACTGTTAAATAAAAAAAAACTGAAGTGAATATTCTCTAAGTGTGCTAATTCCATAATTTTTGCCAGGAGCTTATGACAATGCATTGGAAAGGGATTTTACTATGACAATGCATTGGAAAGGGATTTTACTATGAAAATGCATTGGAAAGGAATTTTATTATGAAAATGCATTGGAAAGGAATTTTATTATGAAAATGCATTGGAAAGGAATTTTATTATGAAAATGCATTGGAAAGGAATTTTATTATGAAAATGCATTGGAAAGAGATTTTACTATGAAAATGCATTGGATACTATTTCTTTAGGAATGCAAATTACAGGATTAATTCCATATTTTCCTCTACATGGTTTGGTAAAAAAAATATACCATTAATTTAATCTCTAAAGAGTCGTTTTTTAAAGGCAGCATGTTCTGCTTTTAATAAAAAAAATGTTTTGCATCTTACCTGTTATTAGTTTATTAATTACTACATAGAAATTCCATGGTGAACATAATTCCATAATTTTTGCCCACATTTATATAATATATATACTTATGTATATATTTGAATGTTTTACTGAACGACAATCAAATTCTTCGGAAAGTTAAGAAGAAATTAAATTTCATGACAAGTGAAAACTTGCATTCCAGGTAAAATTCTTCAGTATTAAAACAAGACTAGAGTAAATGTAGACAATAAAAACTTAATCCTGAACACATCTGGTATGTTGTTGCTTAAAAACAATTCAGAAGAAAATCTTTTTTCTTGAAAAATGATTGTTTTTCATTTTATTTTAGTGCAGAAAATGAAATTTAAAATATTTATTGAAATATTCAAATTTTTCAAGGAAATTGTAAGTTAAGTGACATAGGAGAATGAAGGATTTGTTCAGATTTGTTCTGTATAGACATTCTTCCAAGTCAAATAACTTCCTTCTCTCGTCTGATCACATCACTAAAATTCCAAGCAATTTATTTCTCTTCCATATCTTTACTGGAATGAGTTAAAAACAATTCAAAGCTATTTGGATACTGAGCTGTTTGAATAAAGAATAACAAAAAAATGCAAGCTTATGTATTTATCTCTAACTTATTGTTAATAATAAACTTACTATTTACCCACCTTCTCATGGTGGTGGGTGTGACACAAGGTCAATTTAATATGGCGTGCTATACATACAGGCCAAGGACAGAAACTGACCAGTCCCTGAAACCACAATTGTGTTGGTGCTAACATCAAACAGACCTCTCTCTATTTAATGCAGTGAGGAAGGTGATTCCACATGGTTGGAATCCTTGGGTCTAGGCATTCCTTATGACCTTAAGAGGAAGAGAACAGATGATTTGATTCCAGTCTGAAAGCCAAATAAAGAAGTTCTCCAATGGGAATAGAGGAAATTTAGCTACCTCCCCTATTGGATGTAACACAAAATTATTTTAATGTCAGGTGCGTGTGTGCACCAAGAGAACAGATACAGCACTTTCATCCCAACCAAGTTTATAAAAATGTCTCTTCTCTTTCCCCTTTATGATCCAGAGTGAGAAAAGGCCTTCTTAACAGAGTATTAATGGTTTGGCATATCTCTTTATTCTCTACATGAGCTATTTGCATTGACCTCTTAGCTTTCTACCTCTTTTTGACAAAGTACTATAGCAATGCTTCTCAACCTTTTTAAGTTTTTTTTCACCTAGAAGAAAATTAAAATATGACACACTTAGCAACATTTTTAAAAGCTATACATTTAATTGTTATGAAATAAAACCATAGGTTTAAAAAAAAAATACATACACAAATATGAACTTACTCTATTTAAATTTTTCTATACAACTATTTGTGCAGCTTATTTAGTATAAAACCCAAGCCTGGTGTTTTTTTGTGATTTCTTTGATGTTTGGTTGAATGTGTGATAATGTCAGGTTATGGACTTAATGATTCATCTTTGCATAGATGGCTGCATAAAGTGTAAAATGTTAAATAATACCAGGACAGTAAAACTAAATGATGTGTAAACAGACTAAATCAGTTTTCTCAAAC